ACAGCTTTCCAGCTTCCCCCCCCAGCTCCCCGCTCATGGGGAGTAAGGGCAGGGCAGCAGCCGGCTGGGTTATGAAATACAGCCTGGTTGCAGGATGCCGTAAGTGGGATGGGAATGGGACGGGTGGGTCTGACGCTGCTCCTTCCCCAGGGGCTGGGACCAGGCTCCTGCCCATGAGGCCGGCGGCAGGGTCTGTCCGTGGGCCCCACCACCCACTGCATCCCCACGGACCAGGACTGTCTGCACACCTCACCCCTGGGCTCTTTCGGTGGCTGTTTCCGTGACTGTCCCCCTGCCCACGTGGGACCTTTGCTGTTCCCAGCGTGGGGCCGGACTGGCGATGCCGTGGCTGTGGCAGAGCCAGGGGTGGGAGCCAACGGCTTGTTGCAACCTGCTGCGGGGCTCGTCGGTCCCCAGGAGGGTGGGATAGAGGTGGCAGGGGGTGTGCCAAGAGGCGCCAAGCCTCCCTGGGCTCAGAGCCAGCCTCTGCAGTGATTTGGTGGCAGGAGGGAGGCAAAGGCTTGGGAAATCCCAACTCTTGGCTGTTTCCCTTGCTAAGTCCCTGCAATGGGTTTAGGGGTGTCTGATGCTGCAGTGGCAGGGGGTCCTGGTCTACGGGGTGCTTTTGTCCCCCTGGGTTGATCCGAGGGCCCAAGGAGAGCTCTCAGCTGCGACGTCAGCTCTGCTCCTCTCGTCCCCAGCCCTCCCGCTCCCAGGCAGAGCAGGGATGCCCTCCGTGCGTGTCCCAGCTTGCTCAAGGCAAGGCCTTTGGCTAAGCCCTTGCTGGGGGAGGCAGCGAAAGCCCCCCCAAGCCCTCCCGCCCCGGGGAGGAAAGGCAAGCTCTGCCCTGGGGCTGAGCACAAGCAGGGCTGGGAGGGCTCCCACCTCCTGCCCACGTGGGAAGGCCACCGGCACAAGAGGCCCCCACAGCCGGCGCTGTCCCCTGCCCCAACACGCTGGCTCTGAGCGAGCCCCGTGCCCCGACATGACGGCTGCAGGTAAGCCCCAGCTTGCCAGAACCAGCCCTTCCCCGCTGGCAGGCAGCCCTGACATGCCAGGGGAGTTATTTATTTCACGATGAAAGAAGACACACATTTCGTTACGAGAAACCACTCCACATCTCCAGCACATCGCAGCGCCGATCCCTCAGAGCCTCCCCGCGTCGCTCCCCCACCAAGGGCAGGGTGAGGGTTTCAGCCTCAAGACCAACCCCAGAGCCCACCACCAGCAGCCACCGCCTCCCGTGCTGGCTGGAGCTGATCTGTGGCCAAAGCTAGGAAATGAGTGTCACGCTTAAGGAAGCCACGGCAAACCTCTTCCCGCTGCTGCCAACCTCCCCCCCTCGCAGCACACCACAGCCAGGAGCTTTTTGAGATTTGCTAGGCACCTCCAGACCTGACCCCCCAGCCCATCCCGTCAGCACCCAGCCTCCTGGCAGAAGGATGCTCCTCGGCTCCGTGGGGGATACGCAGCCACTGATGCCTGACAAGGCTCGGTGGAGGGGCAAGGCTGTGGGTCCGGCACAGAGGGCGAGGCTCGGTGTCACCTCTGCCACTATTGCGTGGGGGTGGTGTCTGTAGGAAGTCCCACCCCAAATTAACAGCTGGTTTCTTCAGCAATTAACGGGCTGATGACTCCCTGGAGCTGCCAGAACAAGGTGTGAGCTCCCAGGGACCCTCCCTGTGCTGCCGCCCACCTCCCCATCCCTCTGGTCACAGAGGCACCCGGCAGCTCCTGCCGCACCCCTGGGCTCTCCTACCCACAGGGTGCCCAGGACCACCAGCTTCATGGGCCAGAACCCCCCAGCTCCTGCCAGCCACACTCCACCTCACCCCCCTGGAGAAGGGGTCCATGGGTCTGGGATGTGTTAGGGAAGGAGTTACTCTGGAATGAGGGAAGAGCTTCATCCATCCCCTTCTCGAGGGCACCTATTGCCTTGGACAGGAGGGAACACTATGCAAAAATCCAAGGCACTCAGAGACATCTCAGCTTTCCCAGGAGCCCTGGCAGGACACCTCACGCCTTCCACCCTTGTGTCCCCAGGCCATGGTGCCCGTGCTGGGCATCCTTGTGCAAGGAGAAGGAGCCAGTTGCTGCTCCAGCCCGCGGAGCTGGTCAGGAGCAACTCCCAACCCACGTTTGGGAGGAAGAGGAGGAGGAGGGGGAGGAGGGCAGCCGAAAGGTGTTGACAAACAAGCTGGGTGACTCAAGCCAGGATCATGTCCAAAGCAAGGTGGTAGAAGGAAGCGCTTACTGGCTGCCCCATCACCACAGCTCTCCAGACCCAGCTGTGGTCGTAGAGACCCCAAAGAAAGGGAGGCAGGAGCTGCAGGCAGCACTGCCTGAAAACCACCCTGGTGTAAATCACAGCCCCTGGGCCACCTCGTCAGCCCCAGCACACCGGGGCAGCCCCCGTGCTGGTGGGGATGCTGCCTGCTCGCCGGTTCTGGTAGCAGGAGAGCGGTCCAGGCCCAGCAGCACCAGAGACCCTGGTCCTGAGCCACCAACACCACCTGCCCCTGGCCCACCTACAACGCTCAGAGCCCCGCTCCCAGCAGGGGGGAAGGATCTGGCCCAAGCCTTCACCATCTCCCCACAGTCCTGGGGTTTGCTGCGTGCCCAGCCAGCACAGTTTTGCTGGTGTAAGGGGGCTGCAGCCACAGGGAGCATTGCCAAGCCCAGAGACCTCCCATCCCTGATGCAATTAGGGGTCACATCAGCCTGGGCAGCTCCTCCAAACTCCCCCAAGTTGAGAGGACAACTGGGAGAAGTTGCTTGGAGAGGGGATGAATCCCTCGCTGGGCGCCGGTGGGAGCAGCAGCAGCAGAGAACAGACCGAGCTAGGCAGGAAAACCCGGAGTTTTCCCCGCCGCGTTGCTTTGCATGCCTGACAGCAAGTCGTGCCTTGCCTGTTGGGTTACGGCCCCTCCCAGCTCTGGGGGCTGTTCACCGAGCGAGGAGCCTGGGTGGAAAGCAGAGAGGTGCTTAGGGAACCCAGTGGGCTCCAGTCTCTCCCAGGGAGGTGTCTCAGTACAGGTGCGGGTTCCCCCTACTCTCCCCAAACCTTCAGAGCCGCAGCATGGCACAGGACGTGTACCAGTCTCCATAATTCTATTTCACAGGAATCCTGTTTTCCGCATGAAACATCATTTGCACCCCCAGCCCCACCTGAGCATGGGCTGAAACCCGCCGGTGTAACAGCTTGGCCCCTGCCAGGGTGCCATCACCCAGCCTGGCCCTGCAAACACCTCATTTCTGGCCCAGCACAAACAGGTTCCTGCATAGGAATCCCAGCTGAACTTTTCCTTGTTATTCTTCCCCGGCCTCTTCAGTTCTAAGACCACAGGGTTTGAACAGGGAGCGGTCTCTGTACGGAGAACCAGCAAGTGAAAGGGAGATCGGGGATGTGCTTTGGACCTGAATGTGCTGCCGAGAGCAAGACTCGACCCCGTGTTTTGCCGGCGCAGCCTCGTGGCTCAGCCTCGCCGAGCTTTAACTATGCAACGCGAAAACCCCACAGCGGGTTACAATCTCTCCTTCAAAGCTCGCAAACCTGCTGGCGTCCTGCTGAGCCGCATACCACGTAAGCATTCCTGCCAGCCGGCCCGGGACGGCGGGGCCTGGCAAGGGCAGATGGGCTCCACCGTATGCTGAGAGTCTGTGCGCCGGTACCGCGGCACCTGTACCACGCTGCTGCATCAGTGCCAGACCCGCAGCAGCTTTTTCCCCAAAGCCCTTGGGAAAAAAAAAAAAAAAAAAAATACTTTGGAGCTGCTCCTGTGGCTTTACGACAGAGATGGAGGAAAGATACGGCAGAATCCAAAACCCAGAGCTCCCCCAGCCCTTGAGCTCTCCCACAAGGTCCAGCACGAAGCCACCCTCCTCCACGCCACCTGACTAGGTGCAGCCTCATGGATGGGGGGGGGGGGGGGTGTGGTGTGTGTTTAACTCGGCACAGAGGAGGGTTTTTCAGCCTGGGGAGCTGAAACCCAAGCCGGAGCACAAAAGGGCTTGGAGGTCAAGTCCTGCCGGCTCAGGAGCCCCGGGGAGCGAAGCGCCCGAATCACAAGTGACGCAAGGCAGCCCGGGGGGTTGGGGGGGGGGGCACAGCACCCCGATGGAGGGGTGACCCCACTTATAGGGGTCAAGCAAGTCACTGCAGGCACCAATTAGCAGCCCTGCCCGCCGCTTCCCCCCCCCCGCCCGCTGCCACCCTCCCAGCCGTTGCTTCGCACAAAACCGTGCCTGTGCAGAAGCCGTAATCCCACGGTCAGCGGTTCCCAGGCGGCACTGACCAGACATCCCGCGCCGGGGGCAGACGCCCCGGGACAGCCGGGCTCTCAATAACCACATTGTCACCCTTCCCCATCCCACAGTGGTGGCGGGGGGGGGGGGACTGGGGTGTCCTGTCGGTGCTGGGACAGGCCTGGAGCATCCCAGGGGTGCAGCCAGTCCTTCTCCCCACCCCAGAGCTCTTGTGGGGGGCTTCCCCCAGCACTACTAAGGGGGAGAAAGTTCATCTGCCGGTCCAGCCCCAAACTCCATGTTGACAGTGGTTTCCCTGCACAGGACCCAGCTTGCCAGCATCTCTCCAAACCCAGCTCCCCCTCTTCCCGCCCCACAGCCCGGGGAAGCTCAGCGCATGAACACGCTCCCCGGTCCCCGGAGCCAACACAAACAGCCCTGGCACAACCCAGCCTTTCATTTGGGAGGCAGACAGGCACCTCGGGTGTCCCCCACCCCCTCCGCCCCCGGGCTGTGCCCAGCCAAGGGGACAGGCAAAAACACAGGGAAACTGCAACGTGGTGGAAAGAAAAAGAAAAAGGAAAAAAAAAAAAAAAAAAAGTTTAAAGTCCGGGAGAGAGGGGGCAAGAAGAGCAGGCGAGGGGGCTCCCGGGAACACGGAGGGGGGTGGTGTGGGGGGGTGGCCCCACCCGGATTGAAGAGTGGGGATGGGGAGAGTCCGGCGGGGAGAAGGGGGATGCGCGCCGGGAGCTCACCCGCGATGTGCTGGCGGCGACCCTCGTCCAGGTGCGTGGAGACCACATCTCCCATGGCGAGCGGAGCCGGGCCGGGGCGGGCGGCGGCAGGAGGAGGAGGAGGAGGTGAAGGAGGAGGAGGAGGGAGGAGGGAGGAAGGCAGCGCCCGGGGCGGTCAGGCAGCGCGGCGCCCCATGGCAGCCCCAGCCCCAGCCCCGCCGGCCTCCCCCGGCCACTCCCCCCGCGCCGCCCCCGGCTCCGCGGCTCTCTCTGTGTCCCTCCTTCTAATTAGCCGCTCTAATTTGCTCGCTGGGGGATGGGGGAGGCCCAAGGAGAGCGGTTCTGCTGCCCACCCCCCACCCCGGGGTGCGCTGGGTGGCGGAAAGCGGCTCATCGGGGTGTTAATGCCCCCCACGCACACACACACGCTGCGGGGACCCACGCCAGCTCCCGCCGCTGCTGGCGCCGGGCAAACCAGCTCGGCTCCTGCCATTGCTTCACGGGGCGATTGCAACACCCGCTCCTCCCTTCTCTACCTGCGCCCTCACGCCCTCCTCAGCCTCAACCTTGAGCTCCCCTCAATGCCAAGGTGAAGGGATGGCGTGGGGCAGAGCGGGGAGGCAGGCCCCTCTCCCTCCCCAGCCTCATCGTACAGGGAACTGGGATGGGAAAACTCAAATTGCCTTAAAACTCTCTCCAGCCGTAGATTTTGGACCAAGAGCTGTTTGGCCCCACTCTCCCCCTGGGGTTGGGGGATGCCAGGAGGGGGCTGGCATCTCCCCAGTCAACCAGCATCACTGGGGAGCTGGAGAGCACAGCCCGAAGTGGGATACTACACCCAGCAACGCGGCACCAAATCCAGCAAAATCCCCTCGCACGCACTCCGCCGGGGCGGGAAATTGCCTGGCTGGATCCCTGGGGTGCTGCTGGGTGGCGGGTGAGCTCCCAGGCCTGGGGCTGCTCGGCCAGGGAGGGAAGGAACTGGGGAGCTGGAGGAAGCGGTGGAAAAGCTCCTCCTTCCTCTGCTGTTGCTACAGCTCCTCTCCCGAGAGCAACAGGCGGAAACAGCCCTCGCAGGATCCTCCGTGCGCTGCCTGGGCAGGATCCGGCCGGAGGAAAGGCCTGGCCTCCATCGTTCCCAGAGCCCTGGGCGCAGCGAGCAGCTGGGGTGGGACCGAGGGAGGAAGAGGAGGAGGAAGGGGGAGGACGTGGCAGCGTGGCCAGAAAGTTCAGGCTGTTCCCAGCTGCAGGGCGGCTCTGGGGAGCCGCTGCAGAGGCGGCTCCGTGCCTTGGGATCGCTCCGGTCCTCGGATGCTTCCAGGCCGCTGGAAACCTGGGCTGGGCTGGGCAAAGCTCGGCTCAGCCGCGCAGTCAGATAAATCCAGGCCAGCCCGCGTGGAAACGGCTCTGAGGTTGTGCCGTGAGTCTTTTCCTGGGCTGGACTGTTTACCCGGCGGTGGGAGGGAGGAGTGGAGGTGGCCAGCCTTGGAGCGAGGCATCCTGTTTATCCTGCCTGAAATAGCTCTTCTCAGCCGGCCGCAGGCTGCCGGGCTGGGGAGGGGGACGGGAGGCTGCTCACACCTCTCGCTGCCAGCTGCCACCAGCCCTGCCATGAAATCGCACAGCCCGGGGAGGGACCGGGGGCTTCTTCCCCCACCCTGCGCCGTGCCAGGGTGCTGCCACCCTGGGGCCAAGCATCCTCCCGAGCGGGGAGGGATGCAGGCTCTCCCACACCAGGCCGGGCTCTCCTACAGCCGAACACTCAACAGGAGGCCAAAGAACATCAGGACATCAACCGGTGTCCAGATGTCACCCTGCATCTGCCCCAGCACCCACGGGAGCCGGGCTGGGGCTGGGGTGTCACTGGGGTCACCCCCGAGAGTGCCCACCACGCGTCAGCCCTTTCCATCTCAACGTGGTTCTTACCCCTGCAAGTCATTTCAAAGTAAAAATTGTTTCAAAACTAAAATATTTATGGTTTTCTCTTTGCAGTGCCCCGCAAGAAGGCTTTACCTTTAGCAGCGGGCTTGTTTGCAGTTTGTTTGCCTGGCCAAAATGGTGTTGAAATCAAGGGATTCTCGTGGGAAATTTAGCTGCAGCGAAATCTCATTTCCAATAGAAAATTGTTCCACTGGAGGCTTTTAAACACTTTCCCCAGTGCTGATCCCTGCGGAGTATGGCTCTAAATTCATTTGAAAGTCTGCCTTAGTGGGATGATGGTATTTAAAAGGTAGGGAAAATGCACCTACCTCCCTCAAATCAAAAAAAAAAAAAAGTGAATATCTACCCATGGTAATAACTTCATTATTGGAAAACAAGCTTCAGTCCTTTTAAAAGAAGCAATGTATGGAATATGATTTAGGCAGTGCACACGCAGTCCTGCTAAATAGAGCAAGTAAGTGGTATAAACCCCTTATTTTTGAAAAATCAATCCACGTAAGCACTGGAGCACTACATACTGAGCCATTACCAGTCTCTTTTGCCCACTGACATATTTCTTATATGAAAAAAACCAAACTCTAATTAAAAGTAAAAAATAGAGAGCATTGATATTGTTGATTTGCAAACAGGAAGGTTATATTTGTGGCATGCAGAAATAGCATGTCAACAGAGACTGGAGGCCGTAACACAGACATTTCTGGGGCTCAGCAAACCACCTGAAGGTGAGCACAACATCCCAGCACCGTTAGCCAGCGCCGTGCGGTGACACAGCGCCGGGCTTTTGCCACATGCTGGCCGGTGGCAGACGGGCTCAGCTGCAAAAGCTTGGGAGGGGGAAAGTAAAGGAGTTATCTGAAGGGTTTTGTCATGATAGGAGGCGTTTGAAAGCTGAAAGCTCAGCAGCAGCATCACGTTGAGCACTTCTCGATGTGCTCCCACATAGCCACGTGCAGAGGAGATTGTCCCCGACACGGTCCTGCTCAGGGTTTCCTCCCTGCCTGCCGCCTTGCTGCGTGCCCAAGGAGGTTGGGGACAGGGATGGGGATGGTTTGTCCTTCCTCTCCTGCTGCCAGTTTCTGGGAGCAGCGTGGGGCAAAGCCCAGCCTGGCCCTGCTCAAGCGCTGAGCCCGTCCTGCTGTAGCCGGACAAGGGGTGCAGGCACAGCCCCCCACTGCTCTCTTTAAATTCAGCCTCCTTTGCACTGCCTGTGTGCAAGGCAGGCTCACTCCACTGGCAGCAGCTCCTGCCTGCCAGCTCGGGCATCACCCCAGTCTCCTTCCCCGTACCCCTCTGCAAAGGGACCTGCTCCGGGTGACGCTGCTGCCGAGGCTGGAGCTGAGCCCCGCTGGGTTCAGGAGCCCTTGGCAGCCCCGAGCAGAGGGAAACCAAACGCAGCAGCTCCTGCACCGCAGGTGATGCTCAGTTAGGTTTATCAAGCCCGGCCCCGTGCCTGCCCCACGTGCTGGGGCTGCGAGCAGACCCAGCACAGACATCCCTCCCGTTAGAGACTGTGCAGATAGGGAGTTTTCAAAAATTACACCGTGATAAAGTCTAATCATCCCAGCTAATTACATCTCACTAAACAGTTGGAAATAATGCTTATCTGCTTGGAGCTGGCTGAATTGTCCTAGCTTCGAAATGATGGATTTCCCTCTGAATACAGCCTAGGAGAATAAATGCTTTCATGGTTTCAGGGAGCTGCCTGGGACTGAGGCAATGGCAGCAGTGATCCGAGATAGTCCTTTAATCGTCAAAGCCCTCAAAGCATGCATGAAGCCTGAGGCTGGTACAGAAGTCCACTGTGATGAGCAAAGTATTCCAAACCTCCCCTTCGCCCTCCTAGGGACCCAGCACGCTGGGATCCTGGGTGATCTCAATCCACGACCATGAGGGATCATTTAAACCAAAAAATAGTTGGTTATTTGGGATATTTTTATGCTCACAGAAGTCAAACCAAGCCTGGCAGGGTCTGTGTGCTCAGCTCCCTGCCCCTTCAGCTGGTCCCTCTGGATTCAGTATCTGCAGGGAGGATCACCCTTGCTTCGCTCCCCTTGGATTTTCCGTGCAGTCATTACCACGGTGTAAAATCTGACCTCTGGGCAGCCAAGGTGGTTGATGCACCTGCAGAGCACCCAGAACAGGCTGTTCCCCATTGCTTACCGCCTCCAGGACATACTGAATTCCTGCGACCACTGAACACAGGAGTATGTTCCAGGATAAAGCTTTCAGCCCAGTAAATATTTATTTCCCTTTGTTTGACATAAGGAGCAATCAGTGCAGTTTTCCTTTCACTCTCATTGACCCTGGGACAAGGATCTGTTTCCACCTCAGTCGGATCACCAGGAAACCTGATCGCTTTGGGGGAAGAGCCTGGGGGTGCTCAAGGGCAGGAGGGGCAGCCGGGGGGTTTCAGGGTGTCCCTTGCACGGAGAGCTGCATGCATCTCTCCAGTGGTCCTGACAGCCAGCACAGCTGAGCTCAGGTCCCCATCCAAGGCAGGACAGCCACATGCAAACCCACCTGGGGTCACCTCTAAGGCCTTGGACATGTCCTTCTTCGGGGACTCTGCTGCAGCATGGGATCTGAGCAAGCCATGGCTGGGCAGGAGGGAAAAGCACCAGGCAAACAAGGGCATGAACGTGTCCTGCTCCTGCGCTGGGGGCTGCTCGCCTTCACAGGAACTGGTCTTGATGCAATTAACAGCTGTATAATTGCAGCAGTAAAACTTCCTTCTGCTGATAAAGCCAAGGGCAGCTCTGCCTGGCCTGGCAGAGCAGCAGTGCCATGCCCGTGGCTCCGGGGACGGGCCCCGTGGGTTGTTGTACCCTCCGTCCCACAGACTCCACTGGGATTTGCTGTGCTGGAGCAGCACTCTGAGATAACAAGGTGATTAAGCACTGCTGAATCAGGCCTGCCACCACCCAGGCTTTTGCTGAATCAGGACTGGAGCCGGGGCAGGATCAAAACCATCCAGCCCCAGTCCCAGCCTGGGCACCAGCCTCCGCGCAGGGGTATGGAGAGGAGCAGCTCCAAGCCTGTCCTTGGCTGGGGGGCAGCTTGGGACCCTGCAAAAAACCACAAGCCAGTCCCCAGGGGGCTGTGGCAGCCAGCACAGGGGTTGGGGTGTGCCCGGGACGGTCACCCCCCACCCACCCACACCCCCGTGGGTGAGCACCCACCCGGCCTGCGACCGCCCTGCTGCAGAGAGGGGACCGGCAGGGCCGGGGGACCGAAGCCCCCGGGGCTTGCAGAGGGCACGGGTGGAGCAGGGGGCCTCGTGTGGATCATCATTCCCCTCTGCTGGTCGGCACTGGGATAACTGGTCGCTGCCAGCCAGGCGTTGGCAGGGAGCTGGGGCCGGCCCGGTGCAGCCTGGGGAGGGGGCGGCAGCCTGGCTGCCCGCCCCCGGCCCCCGCGTGGGGTACTGGCACCAGCACGGGCGCTGGGATGAGCACAGGATGCGGGCAGGGCCACCAGCATGGCCTGGGACATGGGAGCAGGCACCGGTCTGGGCACGGGGCATGTTTGCAGGGACAAGGCATGGGCACAGGACACTGGCACTGGCACCGGTACGGGCACGGGGCACGGCACGGGCACGGGCGATGCCTCCCCAGCACCTCCAGCTGCTTGCAGGCTGCTGCGGGGACCCAGGAGGGGTTGGGGGCTCTGCCAGCTGCCCGGCCTTCCCGAGGGTCCCACACTGATGGGCACTGGACACCAATAAACACAGGAACTATGGTCTCATCCCCTTTGGCTCTGGCAGCTATTCCTGGTGTGGATCAGGCCAGGATGCAGCCCTGGATCTGCCCCTTGCTGTGGGATACGGTGAAAAGTGATTTTCTGACCTGTGGATTCTGCCCCGCTTCCAAACCCCAGGCAGGGACAGGGCATCGCATCATGCAAGGCCTGGCGCTGGGTCACTGCAGCCACCGCTTTGGCATTTGCACCTGGGAAAGGGAAAAAAAACCATATGGTTGAGCAATGATGAACAGCTGGGGACAGTGGGAAAACCCACAGCACGGAGCCTGAGCCTTGCTTGCACCCAGAGCAAGAGTCTGCTCAGCCATCACCCCTCACGGCCTCCAGCAAAACCACCGGACACTTGGAGGTTATTAACCCCGGGCAGCTTCGCCCCAGGCAGCTCATGGGGGTGAAAGCAATTGGTGACCTGTGTCCTCCCTGTCCCTGCAGACATCTTCCCTTGGGACATGTTCCCTACCCCGGGGTTAGTCACTGGGCTTTGTTGTCACCACTTTGCCTCTGTGGGCACTGAGGGCGGGGTGGAACTGGCCTCCCTGTTTCACATCCCCTGATGATGGATGCATCCCCCAGTGGGATGAAGCCTGGAAGGTTTCCCCCTCGCTGGGGCTCTGGAGGAGAGGAGCCCCAGGGCTCTCAAAATTTTGCAGAGACCCTGCTTGAGAGAGCCAGCAGCTCCAGGGGAATCAGAGAGGGCCCAGGGCTAGGTTCACGCTCTCCCATGGCTGCCCTGTGGGTGCCCCTGAGCTCCCAAATGCACCCGGAGAGGGCCCAGGAGGGGAAAGAGGTCAGCAGAAGCTGCTGGTGTTTCCCCCCAAAGCCCCAGCCCCAGGATTCAGGAGGTTGTGGGTCATCTCCATTTCTCCCAGTTAAACAAATTTCCAGCATCTCGACAGTTTTTAACTGAACTTTTGGGGTTGAAAACGCCCACAGCCTCCCAGCCCAGACGCCTTAGGAAAGGACCAGCAAGGAGGGATCAGGATGTGGCCCCAGGGCTGCACAGGAAAGCATATCCCACATCAACTACCCCTGGGTGCCACAGACATCCTCAAACTTGTCTTTCAGGAAAACCAGCTTCATCCAGCTCCCTCGGATTTCTTGACCCTGAGACCAGTCCCTCATCTTGCCTCCCAGCTCTCTCTGCTATTCAGGCAGGGCTAAGTTCCACGCCGACAGTCACTGCTCACACAGAGGTCCCAGCCCCCAGGGCCCAGCCATACCCGATTCACATCATTTGGATCAAAACAGCACAAGATGGAGTGAGGGGAGCAGCTATTACCTCTCCCCATCCACCCAGATGTTCCTTCCCAGCCCTACGGTGGAAAGGGGGGTGAGGAAATGCTGCTCCCCTTCCCTTACCTGTGCATGGTGTCTCACGTGCACCAGGACCCCACTGGCTGTGGCTCGGCTGTTCTGGGGGGGTCTGGGCTGCGTGGCTCCAGCTCCTCACCCGGAGCCCCTTGCAGAGGAGGGGAAAGCTCCTGGGGGTCTCCAAGGGTCTAAGGCCTGTGGCCAACAGGCTGTGGTCCCTGCTTGGAGGAGCCACCATCCCAAGGCATTTTGCACCCCAGTAAATGCCTTTGAGTGGGAACCAGCTTCCAGCCCTCACCCAGCCCTGCAGCCAGCAGGCTGCTGGATGTCAGGACGTGGGGTCCCCTTGTTTGATGGGGCCGAGCCTCTGCTGTCAGGAAGGCAATGCCAAAGCATCCATCCCGCAAGCAGCTCTCTTTCCACCCCACCACCCGTAGGACGTTTCTGTCCCTGCCCTCCCAGCACTCACCTCCAGGGCCTCCAGCCCCAGCCTTTGCCCAGGCAGCCTGCAGATTGGGACGGCCAAGGTTTGGTTGCTGATTTTTTCAAACGAAGCAAACATCACTCTTCCTTTAGTTTTTTCTGCCAGATGTTATGGATGCAGGAGAACTACCTGGCTGCTGTGGTTTTGAGTGTCCCTAAGGGCAGAGAGGGGGGACACCCCGGGGACCACCAGCAGACGGGTCCTGGCTCACCTGTGGCTCCATACACATGCTGTAATTTTGCCTACAGACAAGCGATGCTCAGCCTCACCGGGAAGATTGACAAGGAGATGGTAAATCAATATAAATATCTTGCTCTTAAATAGCCTGCTGGTATTTATAGCCCGTGGTTGGCAGAGAGTCCGGCAGCTCTGACAAACTCAACTCCAGCTTATTTTTAAGGAAACATCGAAGAGAACAGGTTTTAGAGCAAAGGATCGAGGCGCACATTTGCCTGACCTGGGGCTGCTCAGGGCACCCGTGCAGCCGGGGCGCAGCGCGGGCCCTCGTCACCCTCCACCCCTCCAGAAGCCCCTTTGCTGTCCTGTGTCACCAGGCACCCCCTGTTCCTGCCTTGTCTCTAAGCGATGGGGTGAACATTTCTATGGCCATACAAACATATATATATCTATCTATCTATCTATACCTGTGGGCACAGCCTTCTCTGGATCACTCTGCCTTTGCTCAGGCTCTGCACTAGCATTGTGCCGTTTCCCACCTCCTTTCCCATTTTTCCCTCTTCACCCCCATCACACCCTGCCCAGGCTTGGAAGGGGGAGCACAGACACTTTCCAACCCCCTCGGCACGGCCCCGGGAGCCAGCTCGGGGCCAAGCGCAGCAGCCCCCAGCCCCAGCGGGCACCCCGCACCCCAGCCTGGGGGAGAAGCCACCCTCCTGCAGCGGCACCCCGGTGCGAGGAGCCGCGGGGCCAGGGGCCGGGCGAGTGCAGCCTTTGCCCCAAGATTTACAGCCCCAGCCGTGCCCATGGTGTGCGGGTGTCTGCATCCCCTGCCGGGGCTGGGGGGGGTGTGGGGGAAGATATTTTGCTGGAAAATAAGCCTGAGACACCATAGGGACCCCTCCCCACTGCCCTCTCTGCTGTCCTGGGCAGGGCCTTTACCCCCAAGCAGGTGCTGCAGCTCTTTGGGGAGGGGGGACACGCAGGTTTCCCACAACCCCACGGTGGGGGGGGGGGGCAGGCAAGTTTCCTACAGCCCCATGGCAGTGGGGGGGGATGCAGCGCTTTGCTTCAGCGCTGGCAAAATAAACCCGGAGGTGCAGAGCTGAGTCCTGGGGGGCACGGAGAGATGCTAGGCATGGGGGGGGGGGGGGGGATGCTGGCTGCAGTGGGGGGGGGGATACTGGGTGCAGTGGGGGGGTGCTGGGTGTGGGATGGGGGGATGCTGGGTGCGGGGGGAGGGGATGCTGGATGCAGGGGGGGGGATGCTGGGTGCACGGGGCGATGCTGGGTGCGGGTGGTGATGCTGGGTGCAGTGCGGGGGGATGCTGGGTGTAGGGTGGGGGGATGCTGGGTGTAGGGTGAGGAGATGCTGGGTGCGGGGGGGGGATACTGGGTGCAGTGGGGGGGGGAATGCTGGGTGCGGGGTGGGGGGATGCTGGGTACGGGGGGTGATGCTGGGTGCGGGGGGGGGGGGGCATTCCGCGGTGGCAGGCGGGCTCTGCGCTGCGGCGCGGGGCGGGGCGGGGGCGGAGTGACGTGTGCCCCGCCCCCTCTAGCCCCGCCCCCCCGCGCAGTCAGCTGAGCCCCGCCGCGGCCGCCGGAGCCCGTTGCTCCCCCCCCCCCCCCCCCGCCCGCTCCGTGGCCCCCCCGCCCCTCGCCCTCCCTCCGCATCCTTGCGCCGCCCGGCGCTGTGCCCGCCACCCGCAGCCTCGCCCGGCTGTGTGTGCGTGCGTGTGGGTGCCCCCCTTCCCTTCCCCCTTCCCCCCCCCCCCCGATCCTTCCCCAGCCGCTGCGGACCCCCCCCCCCCCGGCACCGAGACATGGCCCCCATCGGACTCAAGGCTGTGGTGGGAGAAAGTAAGATCCGCGTCCGGCCGCGCTACTTGCGCATCCCGCGGTGGGGGGGGGGGGTGTGAAGAACTGACCGGGCTCCGGCCCCCCTTTCCCGGGGGTGGGGGATGCTGCGGGTGCGCAGTGTGGACCCTCGGGGCGGCATCAGCGCCCGGCGCGGGGGTGGGACAGGGACGGGACACCCCCGTGGGGCAGCCGGCAGGACGTGGGGACAAGCCGGCCCGGTGCGCTGGGGGGGGGGGGCTGTCGAAGCTTGCTTGTTCGGGTTTTGTTGTGGTTTGTTTTTTTTTTTTTGGGGGGGGGGAGGTGGCAGCGGGCTGTTGAGGCTATTGGGATTTTTCTGCATTGCTGAGGGAAGGGGAGGAGAAGGGGGGGGGACGGTGAAAAAAGGAAGGGGGGGTAAAGAAGGAAGCGAGAGGCGCTTGAGTCTTTCCCCCCCCCCCCGCCCCGCCTCTGGCTTCTAAATGGCCGCGGGGCGATCGCCCCATCGGAGCATAATCAGGAAAACCCAGTCGCCCCCGCTTCGGGGGCCTGAGCCCGGGGAGGGGGTCGGGGTGGGGGGGGCACAGGGAGTCCGGCGGTGCAGATCCTCCCCCCCCCCCCCCCCCGCCGCCGCCGTGCCAGGCCGGGCGCCTCTCGGCTTTGTCTGCAGCAAATCCCGCTTTAAGGCTGATATTTTTTATTTTTTATTTTTTTTTCCCCCCCGGACGTGACTTCGCTTCCCTAATGCCGGGGTGACCGTGCCGCCCCCCCTTCCCCTCTCACCCCCCCCCCCGGGTATTTGCGCGCCCGTCGGGGTCCCGATCCGCCGGGCTATTTTTGGCGGCCGGGCCGCGGGCCGGGGAGGCGGGGGGGGGGCACGGAGCGGCCCCGGGTTCGCTTCCTCCTTCCCCCGGCTGTTGCAAGATGATATTTTCAACGCCTTGATGGCGGGGGTGGTGGTGGGGGGGGGTGTTCTCCAAAACGCCCGAGGCTGGGGGGGGGGGGGGGGGGAAATGGCGGGGGGGGCGGGGAGGTGGCGGTTCCCTTCCCCGTAGCAAAATTCAAGCGAAAAACTCCGCATTGAAAATAAAATAATCAAGAGCAGAAACGGCAGGAACCGGTGGAAACTTCCCCCGGGCTCCCCGCAGCCATTAAAAGCCTTTCTCGTCCCTCCCCGCTCCTCCTTCATGATTTATTTCCGTGGCATCGTGGCCAGCCGGGGCCGGCTCTTTTTTTTTTTTTTTTTTTTTTTTGGGGGGGGTGGGGGGAAGGAAGGGGGTAGGTTAGTGTGTTGTCTGGGGGTGTATATGTGTGTGTACGTGGGTGAAGTCCCCACGGGTGGGGTGGCTCCGGCAGCCGCCGCGTTGTGCCGCGGAGCCCTCCCGCGCAGGCTGCGGGTGGTGCGGCCGGGGCTGGTGGTGTGATCGGGTGGGTGGGTGGGTGGTGATGCGAGGGGGGGGCTCTCTCCCCTGGATTGATGGCCCTGCTTTGTTCCCAGTCGTCACCAGGCTCCGGCATGGGGGGGGGGGGGGGGTGGGGGGGGTGCTGCGCCATCCCTGTGCCCCCCCCCCCCCCCCCCCCCCCCCCCCGGGGTGCTGCATTGGAGGTTAGAGCCCAGCCGGCTGCAAAATGAAAGGGAAAAGGCAGGGAAATGCCCCGTTGTTTCTCTGCTGCAGGATCAGCTTTGGGGAGGAGGGGGGTTGGCTTCTGTGCTTTGCTGGATTTTTTGGGGGGGAAGGGGGCTGGTCCCCTCACCTCTGGTATGAGGAGAGGGGCTGCCCCCAGCCCAGCCAGGCTGGGGAGGGGGGGAGCTGGACCAACCACCCACACGCCCCCAGGCAGGGCCTCATCCAGTGCCCTCGCTAAAGAGGGGACAGAGACCAGCGCCACTGCATGTCCCTTATCTTCATTCATTGTCTCTGTGCTGAAATAGGCTGGGAGAGCACACACACACACATGAGGTTCAAGGCAGCATCATGGAAATCTGGCTCAATCCTTCCCCGCAGGGTTCAGTGACAAACTGCTCTGTTCTTCCTTGAAAAATAGCATTCCAGACTGAAAATAATAACTGGTAGCTGGGCATCAGTGCCGTAGCGGGGCTGCTGGGGAAGCGTGGGTGTCTGGAAGGAGGGAGCAGGGTTTGTGCAGGCAAAATGCTGCATAGGAGCGAAGGACGGGGCCCTGGGAGAAGCACCGTGTGGGGTCCAGCCCACGGGGTTTGGGGTGCCAGGGGGAAGCTCCTGGTCTTGGTGGGTGCTGTTTTCAGCTGGAGCTGCTCCCCAGAGTTCGGACCAGTCTGTAGGGTACCCAGCCCCCTCCCCTTTTGCTGGGCACCAATGCGGCTAGCATAAGATTTCCACGGCTCTCCCTCACTGCGCCAGCCTCCTCTCGGACAGGGGTTCCCTGAAGGTTTACCTGCAGGAGAAGATATTTGCTTATAAGGAGCAAGAGGTATCTCTGCTGGGCTCCCTCCCGAGGAGGGAGGGAAGGATGCTGCCGCGTTGCCATGGCTCGCTCTGCCAGGCCCCCCCTCCGGAGCTGCATTCTGCCCTGGCTTCCCTCCAGACCCGGATTATTCTTCTGACCAGCTGGTGCCATAACAAGATGGGTTTTGGAGGCTTCCGGAGAGGTGGGAGGAGCTGGGCAGGGGGATGAGGTGGGTGAGTGTTTTGGGAGATGGGCAGAACTGGATTGTCAGCCCCCAGAGCTGTGGGGTGCGTGCTGGGGGGGGCTGTCCTCATGCCTCCCTGCAGTATCCAGCAGCGATGGCTGCATCCCTCCAGGACTCACTTTCATCTGGCCGGGGTTGGAGCTGAGGCGCTGGGCCCTGGAGGTGATGCCTGAGGACCAGGTCCTCCTCGTGTGTCTTCTGTTTGCTCTGCGACCACCTCCCAGGAAACCCCACTGGAGAACCAGTTTCTTTGCTCTGGTGCTGGTTAGAAAAATCTCACCCAAGCGTGGGAGCTGGTGCCACTTCCGTGGACACCCATCCCCAAAATCTCCATCTAACCCCCCACCACATGGACATTCCTCCCATCCTCTCTTGCCCCAGGGCCTCCTCGCATCTTCTCAGGGCAGGCTGCCCCAAGCTTCCCCTGCCCAGCCTGGTCCCAGCTCTCCTGCAGCACCCTGCAGTGTTGAGGAGGAGGAGGCTGGGTTTACTTCATTGAACTATCACCAGCGAGGCAAGACGGGCTGTGCTGCAGGGCTGACACTTGTGCAGTGCCTGCCACCACAGCGGGCTGGTGCAGGACACGGAGCCGGAGTGCACGGAGGTGGTACCGGTGCTGGATCTGAACCCCCTGGACCCCTTCACCTGTGGGAGGAGAGAAACCTCCCCGAGGGCTTCCTTTTGCTCACACGGCTGTCAGGGACAGATGGGAGAAGCAGAGCAGTCCTGGGATAAGGGAGCAAGAAAACACCTTTCCCCCAGGACACCAGCTGATCCTCCCACGGAGCATCCTTGCCTATAGAGCCTCCCGAAGAGCTGACCTGTGCCTGGATGCCTGCCAGAGCCACACCGAGGAGCCCCACGGTTAAATCCTGCCTGGATGAGGTCTGATGGGCCCTCAGCACCCATGTATGGCACTTGGTGTCCTCATCTGTACCCCTCGAGGGTCCACCCCTGCCTGGCCTGCGCTGGGATGCGATGACTCAGGGACCCAGGCTCATGCTGAGCTGCACGTGCTGTGCTGCACCTCTGGGGACAGGGAGGAGGCACGGGCAGGGCTGCCAGCGAGCTGCCAGCCTCGGGACACAGCCAGGGGCCCCGGGGACCTGCCGGCAGGTTGCTGGTGCACGACTCACCCAGGCTGCTTGGGGCACCTCACGGCTCCCACCACCCCTTTGCTGAAGGCACAGGGAGACTTCCAGGGCCAGATGCTGCTCGTTGAGGATGCTCTGAGCCCATCTCAGGGCCCAAGGCACAAGGGTTGTGCCCCAGAGCCAGGGCTGGCACGGTCCCTGCCAAGCAGAGGAAGAGGAGGCAGCGAAGGGCGCAGGGCTGTCTGGTCCTGGTGGGATCACTGCAGGGATGCACATTGCATCCTTCTGCCTGCACAGGGCCAGAGCTTCCAGCCCTGCCATCATCTCTGCACGATGGTGAAGTGGATGGGTGAGGAGGAGAGGGTTTCTACGCCTTGTCCCCACGGGTGGGAGCTGACCCTGAAGTCGGGCTCTTCCTGGGCAGCCCACCCTCCTGACCCCCAACTCCGGGGAGCCCCGAGGGCGGCGTGGGGCTGCCTGCCCGATGTGTGGGTACAGGGGTGGGCGCTTGGCAAAGCCTCTGCTGAGGCCTTTAGCCCTGTTACCAGGGTCTGTTTCGCTTCCAACGACAGCTCTATGTTGGAAAAGCTTGAAAAAATATATGCAAAATACAGGGCTTACCTTCACACACTCCAAACCGTAGTCTGCACCAGGGGCTGAGAAATACTTACCCGTACATGACCATGGAAGGTTACCAAGAATGACACACCTCACTTTGGCAGATCTGCATCCACCCACCAGTGTCTGCATGTGCAAGAAGGTTGAAAAAGCTACCGATGGAGAGAACTTGGACTTTTTCCCCTCTTAAAAAAAAAGAAACTAAGGTCTGAGTAATTCCCCTGCACCTCTCAGGAAAAATGTCCCAGGAGAGATTCCTTCCTTCTTCCCACAAAATCAACACATTTAAAAAGAGAATCATCGTCACATGGCTTTTAGTTACATGCTGAGAAGCAGATGCTGCGTCCACCAACTCACGGTGCGGGAAGGAATTTGGCTCTTGTGTTTTGGAGAGCGCAAAAATAGATCAGGCTGAAGGTGCATTAATTTGTGGGCTTCCACATCGCCCACGTACACACACAAACACATGAATGTGTGCACACACATGTTGACACTCATGTTGTAGGGTCATTTGTGGAGCCCATCAGATGGTTTGACATTGTGCCACTAAGAGAGCAGCAAAGACCACTCAGAGCTGGACCAGTTCAGCTGCACATCAGCTGCTCTCCGTCTGGTCCCCAGCATCCACATGGGCACGGGGG